GCTGAAGACCTAATAATAAATGCCTTATTATTTTAAAGGATCATAACATTTTCTATTTGGAAGAAAATCTGAGAGGGTCTATCCCTCTCTTTTTTTTGGGGGGGCAAGGGGTACCACAGATTTAAGTCATGGGCACTCGACTACTGAGCCACATCCCCAGCCCTATTTTGTATTTTATTTAGATACAGGGTCTCACTGAGTTGCTTAGTGCCTCGCTGTTGCTGAGGCTGGCTTTGAACTCTCYACCTCCTGCCTCGGTCTCCCAAGCTGCTGGGATTATAGGCGTGCTCATCCTGGTCCCTTTATTTTTCATTTTTTAGGCGAGGAAAGAGGTTCTGGAAAGTTCATTCCCTGTCCAAAGTCCCATAGCTTGGAAATGGCAAATGAACTGGAACTTAGGTTTCCATGTCTTATTTGAAAGATCATCATGACTTTATACCTGTATGCATTTATGTGCTTATTCWTATTGAATGAAACAGAAATATATATCAGATACCAATTTATTACTTTAGGTAACTGGTACTAGGAATCTTCAAAAATATTTCATTTATTACCAGAAGCTCAGGTTATTTGAAAAGTCTGAGAAACAGCACAAACTAAGAAGAAACAAAACAAAACAAAAACCTCAAGAAATTTTCAATGCAGTAACTAGACAGTTGTTAAGAAATGTCAAAGAACAATGAAAGAAGAGTGTCTGACTATATGTTAGGGGGTAAGGGAGGATGGGAACAAAGAAAAGAAAGGGAAATCTGTTGGATCCCACAATTAATTTTTAGGTTTAAACTAACATGTTTTTTTCCAAATGGATTTCATAGTGCCAACAGAGCCCTTTTCCTCATGTGACAGGTTATGATCAAATTTTAGAAACATATCTGGCAGCATGTATCCAAATATGCACATAGCTGAATTTTTCATTCTGTAGTTGCTTTTAAGGCTTGGAAAGTAGAAGAAAGAGTATTATTAGGAGAACCTGGGTTTGAATCCTAATCCTGGCACTTAATAGCCAGGTGGCTGTGATGATCTGAGAGCTAAGATGACTTGCTTAGTTTTCAGGTCAGTATATCAGAGATTAAAAAGCATATGTGAGAACTGGTTCCAGGACTGCCTATGGATACTAAGACCCACAATGCTCCACTCCCTTTTATAAAATAGTGCAGTATTTGCATGTGACTGCATCCATAGACTTTAAACCACCTCTCCATTTCTTGCAATACACAGTACAATGTAAATGTCATGGAAATCGTTGTTCTGTTGTATTGTTTAGGAAAAAATAACAAGAAAAAATGYACATGTTCAGTACAGATGCAGTTCCCCCACCTTCCCAMCCCCGGAACATTTTCCATCTGAATCCTGGATGGGGGACCCATGGATAAGGAGGGCCAATAGTACTCTGCAAAGATGTTCTTTGTTTTCTTAATAAGATTAACAAAGGATWTGTTCTTGGTTCTTTAGTATCTAAAATGCATCATGTGTAAGAGATCTTGTTGGGTGCTGGAGTGCTGACAAAGGTGAATAAAATATAAATCTGTTCTCAAAGAGTTCAGACTCTACAGCAGGGCAAGACCGTTGTAATTTCTTGTAACACAGTCCTAAGAGGGAGGTGGTGCAGTGTCTGATCAAGAAAGTGGTTCTCARTCCAGGCTATGTGACAGTCCCTTATAAAGCTTTGTTAACATGTGGATTCCCAGACTCTGTCCCCAAAGATTCTAACTGATAGCACTGGAATTCAGCATTTATTTGTGTTTTAAAGCTTTAGAGGTGATGCATATTGTTTGAGAACACTTGGCTGATGGCTTTGGAGTTACATCTGTGGTTCTCAACCTTGACTATACACAGGTATCACCCTAGGTTATACCTGAGGTCAATTAAATTAAGATCCCAGGGAGTGGAACATTGGCATCAATATTTGCATATATAAAAAATTTTTCCCGGCTGGGGTTGTGGCTCAGTGGCAGAGTGCTTGCCTAGCATGTGTGAGGCACTGGGTTCGATTC